AAGAAAGAAAAATTCTATAACTTCGAAGATAATGAAGTTGGAAAGCTGACATTTTCAATGATTATAATAGACATCTAGCACTATCACAGAAAAAATGTTCGGCCTTTTCGATCGTGTTTTGGTTGAGTTATGAACTTTTTATTATTTAATCTAAATCTAATCTATCATTGTACAGAGAAAACAAAAGATATTCATAACTTTTCAAAGAAGAAATAAGAGCAAACAAATCCTTTTAGAGTTTTGACTAGGATACTGTATAGTATCTATCGGCAAAGGATCATTCAAATCGGAGGTGAGCACCTGAAGAGGTTTCCCCATTAGTTAGCTGCGTCTCATCTCTACCATATCAACAATGTACCGGATGAAGCCAAAGTTTTGCATTAATTTTGTTTTTGATAGATATACTTGATCGTTCTTTTTTATTTGAAAAAAAAAAAGTACCGAGTACAAAAATATATAAAAATATGTTTGATCGGAAATGTTTCCTAAACAACTATAAAAGTCTTAGAAGTAAACACATCAGAAAAACTGTTCTGGAAACCTTTTTCGAATTTAACAAAAATAATTCTACTCAAGAAGAAAGCTTATCTTTTTATTCCATTTTTCGGGATTTCAAAATGTAGGAGAAATACAGTACACAAACAAACTTTCTATGGATTTTATAATGGTCGAAATGAACATTTTTTCAATATTCCTATGCCACCGCTGATTTTTCATTTCCAACCATCACAGTCTAAAAACTAAAGAATAAAATACAGCTACTCTGTAAGATATTATGAGAAAAATTTGTTTTCGCATTATCAACGCCTAATTGAGTTTTTAATCAAGCTGATTTTTGTTTAGTCAGTTGTTTGAAGGCCAACATTTTCTGATATTATACGAAAGTCTTCGTTGTAATGGGTAATTTTCATATATATTGTGCTCGAAAATATCGAAAGTAGATAATGAAAAAGATTATTTAGATACAAAATTATGACCGAAGTTGTGAGTTTTCAGATATCTTTAACTCCTAAGATTTTCATAGTTGTTGAGAAACATTTTCATATGTTTTGTATTAGACATTTTGTTCTTTCTAACAAAAAAAAAAGTTTCTACGATGTTCCATCGTGATACTCTATCGAAGATAAAATCATTATAGAATTTTTGCATCACTCGTTTGTTTAAATAATTGAGATATATAGCATAGGTTACTTAGAACTGTTTCACACGCGAATCTAACGAAAGAGTTTAAAAAGTTTAAAACGTCTCTAAAAATACATATAGAAAGATGAGATCTGAAGCGTATCGATATCTACTTTTATGACTAGTTTATCGAAGTAAAAGTAAGATAAATGTTTTTATCAATTTTGTACTCATTGTACTCATTTTTTATATTTTGTAATTATTTCTGAATATTCATTTTTTAATAGTATTTATTTTCTACATTATCAACACATTATGCTGTTTTTACTCCATCAAATAATTAAATTATTGTTTTACATCATGTATCACTTTAGCTAGATAAATGATATTTTTTAATCTAAATGAATAAAGGGCCGATTGTATTGTGTTGTATAGATTGACTAGTTAAATCATCAAATATTAAATCTTTCACATTTCATTTTGCTTTTTAATATAATATAAACTTTATATACAATTTTAAACAATAAAAATTTTAACAACGATCAAACATACACATTTAATTTAAATAGATAGATTGACATAAATTTGTTTTATGAACATGAAAGCAAGATAAAAGGTGATTATGTGACCATTAAATTAGACCTAAACTTTGCAAACTATTTTTAAATTAATGTTTTATCATGAATAAAAAGCAAAAAGTTAATAGATATAAAATGTTCGTTCAATATACTATGTAGTTATAATAGACACGACAGGTAAAGTATTCATAACATAGATACTTTAACATAAAAGATGATTTCAGAAATGTTTTACTGTTTTATTCCTTTTTTTAATCAAGAAATTAGAATAGAAAGAATTTTCTTAATGTTTTTGATTGACATTTAACATGCCAATAGTTAACTCTTCATTAGCTTAGCTGTTTTTCTTTCATACTAATTGTATTTAGAAATATTTTGTTATCTTATTTTTCTGTATTTGTCAGATTTTTCCAGAAAAAAAATGAAACTGACAAATGACGAGGGAAGAAATTTGTAGTTTGATTTTCTCTTTTTCTTTTGAAATCAAATATGACCCTGTTCTGCTTCAGTACGCTTTTTTTTTTTTTTATCTTACTCGATATTACACTAAAGAAATTCGAATTCTTCGCACAATGTTCATTGACCATGTTAAAAAAAGTTCTCCTCTTTTTTATTCTTATTCGATTGAACGTGGTGTTGATTGTAATAGAATTGCCTTCTGGTGAAAAATGTCGTTGAACTCAAGTTTTTTTATGTTATTTCAGATAGTATATGATGGCTGTTATTTATACGATTATTATACATACAAAAAGATAGAAAATAAACGACAACATGATAATTAAAAATAATCGTCAATGGATGTTACCAGCAATATTTCTTCTTATATCATGTATTGTGGTAAATGCTCAAATTAGAGTAAGTAAATAGTTTATTTATTGTAATCTATTAATTGCTTGAAATGTTGTTGTACAAATATTTTAGGAACATATTTTTTCATTACTCTCAAAAGTTGTTCTAAATTAGTTCTCTTTACTTTGTTTTAGCCCGTGGCTGGTTATGATGGAGGAAGAAATAAAACGTCAACAATTTCAACAACAACATTGTTAAACCAAGATATTGATAATTTAAATTCAGAAACTGATGATAGTGATGATTTTTCACTTTATGATGATAATGATGAACAAGCATCATCTACAACAATCTCAACACAATTGAAACAAAATTTATCATTTAATGATCCACAACAACTATTACCAACTACAAAACAAAGATCATCATCCGTTAAATATCCATCAGGAATGTCATCCTCTCAAAAAAATGATCAAACAATAGATGAACATTTTGACGATGAAGATGACTCGACTTATGATGATTATAACGATCTATCGGATGAAAGACTAAATTCATCATCGATTCATGATTCAGAAAATGGAAAAAATGACTATTCAGATACCTCATTGAATAATAATAATATCAAACCAGAACAACAAAATAACAACAAATTTAATAATAATATGAGTAAGTTATACTAGAAACAGATTGTCGAGTTTTGAAGATTGTTCTCGTTGGTTCAGCAATTTTAAAATAGGTTTCTCATTATGAATAGATTATGTCTTCTGTATAGCGATCGTTATCGCGACGAAAACATATTTCAAAATTTGTGTGTCCACATTCAAGTTTCTCACTAACAAGACTGAATTGATTGCTTTATCTTAAATAACAATGTTTGACAAGTACCACCACTTCTGGTTAAACTCGCATTTAAAAGAGTGTTTTTACATTCTAGATACTCATACGACACTTAAATTACCAATTGTTCAGTCTTCTGTGTGGAAAGATTTATTTTCAAAGCCAGGCACACTTGCTGGTAAGTTTCTTTTACAACTGTTCTATTTTTACTGTAGTATAAGTTCTTTTTGTGCTTTTTTTAAGGAATTGTTGGTGGTGTTGTTATTGGTATGCACAAATTTTCATAATGGAAGACATTTCATGCTAATTTCATTTCCTTTTTTTTTAGGTCTGTTGAGTGCTATTCTATTGGTTATGTTTATTATTTATCGTATGCGTAAGAAAGATGAGGGTAGTTACGCATTAGAAGAAGAACGTAAATCACCATCGCACGCTTATACACGTGTATCATCAAGAGAATTTTTTGCCTAGAGAAAAATATTGGTAGTTCAATAGTTTTTCGTTCGATCACGTCAATAATAATTTATTTTTGTTTTTTCAATTTGTGTCTGATATTCCACTTCTAACTGTATAAATAACCTATTTGTTTCATGTTCTTTTAAATACTCAATATTATTGCTTGTACATAACCTCGTTTCATATTCTGTCATTGTTTTTTCTTCATTTGAAAAATATTTAAACGCATTACGAAAGTGACTGCGTTTGGTTATCGTTGAAAAAAATGAATATTATACGTCAATTTATATCTCCTACCTTATGTTATTGTTCCGTCCTTTTACTCTGTTTGTGTAGCAGACTACAAATCTGTTTTATCTTCGTTTATGGATACTCATTCCGAAATTTTCTTCGTGTTTTTTTGTTTCATTGTCTTGTTCCTTGTGATTAAAATACTGTTTGTATAATAAGTCTAATGTTGTTGTTTTTTCTACTCTTGTTTCTTGTATTTTTGATTAAAATTTAAACTTGACAAAATATGACAGATAAAATAAGAGAAATATCTATAACGATTACCTTTTGAGTTTATGATCAGATGTGTTAGTTTTTTACAGACAGAATTTTGATAGTTGATTAAAAAAAGACAGAAGGATTCTACGGATAAATGTTACCCAAATTTATAGCGCTAATTCAATGCTTTCATTAGAGTATTTTTGTTAAATCAAATTATAATTACTGTATTTTATCATTCATTTAATGTCTTCAGTCCTTATGCCCTGCTTCACCTATGCTTATATGATGTGAAAGACTTAATATAAACATATATAATAAACAGAATTTCCCAGAGTTCCACATTTCAAGATTTTTCCTTCACGAAATCTTACGTGTATCTCTTCTTTGTAAGAATCTTTTCTTTTAACTGTCCGGAAGAGACTTTAACGCTTTATCACATATCTACAAGGGGGAAATAGCGGACTCCTGAAGTCCACGAGTCCAAGAGCAACAGAAGTGTCCATTTTTTTTAGGAAGTGATTCCCAAAACAGAACACTTTTGCTCTTGGACTCCTGGAAGTCCATAGGAGTCCGCTATTTCCCCCTTGACCCAAACCCAGAATCGTTTTCTTGTGAGCTGAGTTCCATATTGTACATATCGTTAAAATCTTAGGTGAACAAATAATTTTCTGGTACCACCACATCGCCTTTGCGTTTTTTTTCATTCTAGATCTGAATCATCAAAAAAGTGTTCTTTTACATCTAAGTCCGGCTCTGAACTTTTTTTGTAGGACATGTATATACAGTTTCATCGCGTCTCCCTTTGTGAAAAAAAAGTTCTATCATTTTCCTCTTTTCCAGAAATCCCTTTAGTTTTTTTAGTTATCATCTCTGTTGATAAAAATAAGAAGAACCTCTTACTAGAGAATCTCAAATACTGTTTGTTCGATGTCATATATACCAAGCCTTTGGCTGTTTTATTTTTCTAACCTTGTTATTGTATCTGCTTCGATTTGTTCCAGTTAGATATGGTCAATGGCCGCGCAAGATACCGAAAAGAGATTACGTTATTTGTTAAGTTCCTAAGAATGTCGACTGCACGATCATCTACTGACATGTATATTAAAAGTATTCGCGCTCCATTTTCGGCTCTTCTACCCCTACCAAAGATGAACCAAAAGTGATAATGAGTTCATATCTTCAGGATGGATGACAAAGTCTTTTACGTACATTTTCTTTTTTGTTGCAACTCTTTATCTATCATCCTTTCCGATATTCCAGGAAAATTGAGTTTTTCATCGGTAATCATTACAATCCGACCAAAAACTTATCCAATCGGACTCGAACGTTTGCTAAGCCTGCCTCAGAGATCCTGTCATTTTCTTTTTGAAAATATCACTTCTAATCTAACAAAAATAATACAAAACAAAAAAAAAAAGTCTTTCATTTTTAAAAGTCAGAAAGAGAAGACTTTTGAAAAAGCTCTAAAGAAGGCTCATCTGGAATATAGTCTGAAGTGTTTGTGATAAAAAATTGAGCCCGGTCGAATGAATTTTAATGGGGTCCTAATGGATGCCAATAAAGCGTACCAGCGTTTGAGAAAAACGTAAAACAAAAAAGAGATTCATCAAAAACTTTAGTTTTATTAAATTTTCCTATATATTCATCTTCCACGCAGTGGACAACATGTTCTTTCTTCACTGTATAATTCATTGAAACTTGTCTTAAGAAAAAAGCTTATGAGTTTCAGAGTGGTTTGAAAGCAGAACTGTACCTCAAGATCGATATTTGTGAAAATACTGAAAGTCTGATTTGGAAATTACAGGCTAAACTATCTGTGAGAAAATAATTTTACTAATACGAATTTTGAAAATTAGTGGTTCAATAGAAACCTTGATTTCCTGCCGAAAAACAAGTAGTCGAAATACCGGTTAGTCTGAAAATGGCAGTTCGCCTAGCGATGGTAGTAGCAAATCTATTAGTTTATTTATTGTATGGGAGAAGAAGGAAGGAAAAAAACTCTTACCTTGCAGCTACTGTTGCCAATGTATGACGCACCGAGCTGCATGGGCTGAGAAAATTGAGTCCGAACCCGACCGTGCCGATCCATAAGTCGTCAGTGCAAAATTCCAGTCAGTTATTTCATGTACTACTGCTGCGTTAAAAAATGTCTTTGGTTGAATGAGAGTTCTAGAGAAATCCAAACGCAAACTAACACTTTCAAATATGTTTTCGTTTTTGGATTCTTGCTATCGCGTTACTAAGATATCTGCACAAATTGAGCCCTTTATTGTATAAAATACTAATAGTATGAATAATGCAACCTTTTTAAACGCTTACATCTTCAGATTTAAATCTTGCAGAGATCTCATTTTGCAGATAATAGACTAGGCTATAATGATACGGTACCTAAAATAATCATGAACAAATGGTATCGAAAATACATATTTTTTGTGATAACATCAAAACTAATTTAGTATTGGTCCATGTAGGATAGAATTAGAGTATGTAATGTTTTATTAGACAGGATATAGAATTCGAAAAAAGCATATTCTGGCATTGATAGTGCCTGCCGCTATATCTAGGCATGCATCGATTATAATCGATATATTTCACCTTTTTTCTGGAATGAATTGCATGAAAAGTACGCATATTAAAATTGTTCTAATAACTGGGTTTTGTAGAGCAAACATGTTTTTACAAGATGGGCTATGGCTGAGATCCTTATGTTTTCTATTTCTGCTGCAATCGCTTTTCGATGAGTCCGAAATCGGTTATAACCGATCATGAGACTTATAAGAAATCTTTTTTTTATAAGTACTGGATCATGATGAAGTACACTCACATAGCTCATCTTGTAGAAACATGTTTGCTCTACAAAATCCAGTTGTTAGAATCAATTTTTGTTGAGAAAAATTTCAAAAGTACATAATTTCAATCGGTTATAATTGACGTATGCCTAACTATATCTTTCAAATATGTTTGAAAGATATAGTGAACAGAACAACATGAGATAAAAGAGTAGGAAGAAAGAAAGACTGAAATAAAATCTTGAACTGTCTATAACATAAGAGATCAGAAAATTATCTTGCAGAATCACTGCGACTGTGTAAAATTATCCCATAAACTCAAAATGGCAGCAGAGTTCATTCTGTTGCTGATCCTACAATAACACTCACAGTCTATTCAAAGAATACTTTGTGAAAAAAACAGCATATTCAACAGTGCTAGAAAAAATCAATACATCATAATGAAAGTTATACTAAAAGATAGCGCATGTCGTCTGTACTAACACTAAGTTCGTTACAGAACAGAAGAGTATTTGAACGTTGCATGATATTTGACATAACAATTAATTAAAAAATAAATAAGGTTAAATTATAAACAAAATTACACTGATCGGTAGCTTGCGTACCACGTTGCTTAAACCAATTGAATCGATGATACTTTACATAGAATAACTGAATGCCACATTATTCTATCATCAGTTAGAAATGCTTTTCAGATATTTCGTAATTTTAGCATGAGTAAATATAGTATTAACATTTTCTGGTCTTCACAAAGTAGGATGTGTAAAAAGTTTACAAGATTACACTATATTACTTATCGTTAGTTGATGTATCAGACCATTTTGTACACTTTCATCTCTATTGTGTATGTTTACCTAACAAAGTTATTTTAAAGATGATGTATGTGTTTTTCTTCTTTTTAATAGTGAGTGCACTGTTATCTTTCCTCTTTTATTCTTCATTGTTCAATATATTTTCTTGATTGATCCAAGGGTGTTCGAACATCAAGAAGTACGACGTCTTATGAAATTATAACGTCAGGCGTTCTCATTTCCATGGAGAAACATTGTTCTGTTGTATCTAACCAACCATAGGCAGAGTAATAAAAACAGATGTTACTAGATAATATTTTTTCTACTTTCATCTGCGTCTTTTCTCAAAGTAGCAAAATAATATTAACAGAGATAATTGAAACTATTTTGACTCTCAAAATGTACAATACGACCAGGTGGTCCGAAACATTCACCTTTTTGATCAGGGATGGCGATTTTCTGGCAAAAGTAGCAACAACTTATTTCAAATAGATCTCAATGCTAGGCGCCGCTTAGTATTTAGTTTTATATCCCTCTGTATGATTTATGTCAATGAACAATAGAATTTATGGGTCGTTTTTCTTCTTGTGTTACCACATTAGTACAAAATGAAGATAAATAATATTGTTGATAACATTAAATTGATATTGCGGTACGATAAAAGAACAATCAGAGAGGACAAATTTTTTACATATGTTTTAGTTATGCTTGTATCACTATTCATGATAAATTTCCATTTATTTTGAACGTAATTAATGCGAAAAGTCAGTAAACAAAATATACACTAAGATAGAAATGTTATGGGAAAGCAATTGTGCTGTGTATATGGAGATAATTTACGTGATGATGTAAAAAAATTATTGATACTGATTTTTAACCAGTTACAAGCAAAAATCAAGTTTATTATTGTAATTGACAATTAGAAGCCGAAGTATTCTAAAAGCTTAAATTTAAGTACCGGATAATTGTGTTGGTCACATATAAAACTCATGCTGAATTTTCTTTCATGAGATTATGAAACTTTATTAGCTTGTACTATAAAAGCAATTTTGGTTTCGATATTTATTCCCTCCAACTTCATATCTCTTTTGAGAGAATATCTTTAATGCCGTGATACAACATGTCCTTCATTGGAGTTTCTCATTAGTTGTAAAAATATCGTCTTTTGTAATTAATATTCTAAGAAATGTTGCTATCCAAATATCTTTCTTTTTACTGGTTTATCTAACTCACGTTACACAATGTACAACCAATCAATTTTTTCTGCTCTTCTTTTTGAATTATAGCAGCTGAATATGAACTACATAAACGACGCTCTTCTTCTTCAATTTTTATTATCATTCTATTCTCGTTCATAGATAACAGCCATCCAATGCCATACTCACATATAGAGAAAAAAAATGAGATATAATAATCAGCCAATCACATAGTTAGTGTACTAGAATAAAATGAAAAACCAAAATGAAAAAATTTCCCTATTATCATAAATTAGATCCATTGCTCAACAATTTTAATAAAAAAATCTACTCATATTTTTAAATGTGTATTTGTTAACCAATATACATCCATAACAAAGGCAAGTTAATACTTCAATTTTTTTGATGAGAGAACAAAAAAGATCCCTTTTTTTTCTCCACTATATATTCTCCCAAAACTATTAATTTCTCGTAGGCGCTTATATCACATAATTGATACCATACACAAAAAAATATATGTATAAGTGCTTACATACACACCGGCACTTACATTTGATATTAATTACTGAAAATATACGTTTCTAGTGATGTGTGGTGGTAATAAATGTACACGCCACTGCTGCTGATGGTGATCGTAAGAGAAAAGAAATGGTGAGAGACGAATAAATTAAATCATATGTAACTAATTTTTGACTTTTTTTAAAAAACAAACTAATATAACTAATAACTAGAATTGATTCATTGTCTGACGGTTTTAGTAGACAACTGGAATCAATTATGATCGAAAATTCTCTGAAATATGATTTGATTCACAAGGAAACTTCACTAAGTGATTTCTGACTCTTTTAATACAAGTTATGACTATTACAAGTTTACTATAGACGGCGAGACTGTGGAAACAAATCATCCGTTTCTCTCCGAAGACACAACAACTTAGATTTCGATTGCGTTAAGCATTAGCCATCGACTACTTACCGCCAGAATTTCAGTGTTACAACTGATCTGAATAGGTGCGATACGAGCGTTTGACAAAAATTTCTAGTTTTAGAAAAATGATAGCAGATTTTTCTACAGAAAAGAAGTGTAATCATGAAGAAGCAAACTGTTCCATTTTTCTGTTCTCAGCGGTAATCAGGAGTGCACCGGGAGAGCATATGGTTTTCGTTCCTTGACTAACAGAAGAATTAAGGAATAGTTTTATTATCTTTAACTGCTTTATTCTGTATGTGAACTCGGTGTTACGTAAGGCGAGAGACAATATGAAGAGGTTGTGGCTCGATAGCTCAGGTGGTTAGAGCATTGGCACGGAATTTTATGATCCAAGTTCCAATCGAGTCATATTTTCTTTTGTTCAGTTCTTTAACGTCTTTTCCGATTTGAAAAATATATTATATAATACTCTGGGGGTTAGTAGTCGGCGGAGAGTCTTTGATGCATCAAATCTTAGCTATTATGCTTTCGAAAAGAAACTGATGATTTGGTCTCCCAGATTCACCGATTCAGGAAACTTTTAATAGTCATAACTTTTGATAGGAAAGAAAGTTGGAGATACGAACGCTCTTCAGCTTTTTCTTAACTCACCAGAACCCACGTTCAAACAAAGGAGAAACACAAAAGCTTTAAATCACTTGGTAGGTTTTCTGGTTAAAGAATAAACACAACTATCGTAAGAGTGTATAACAGAACTTCAGAAGAATCTTGGACTTATTAAGATCTTCGATACGTTTTTGTTAAATATTCGATTGTTAACAGAATACTGAATAATGAGAATGTCGCTAATAAATCCTTAAGATTAAATCAGTCACTTTTGTTAGTATCTTCAGTTCAATTTCAATGCAAGTTTCAATGCAAATATATTTTTATTAAAAAAAGACACTAGATAATAATAGCTTTTTGTTAGTTTTAATGCAGTTCGCAACAAAGGTCAAATTTTTTATGAAAACTGTGCATCAGAAAAGTATCAGACTTCACTTAAATTCAAAAAAAGAAAGTACAGTGAAAAATTGATAATTTTGCCATGTTTTGATAATATGACCTTTCTGAAATAAAATCAAGCAATGTCTTATTTTGTCGTGTTTCTGTTTACTGTTGAATCTACAGCTCTTACTAATTGCTCAATGAAATCGTGCTTGGTGCTATTGTATTATATTGCTTATGTCGCTGATTTTAACTTTGCATTAACTTGTAGTACACCCTAGATTTCCATGCTCTTTTTACTATCTAAAAGTGGCTATTTTTCATTTTTGAAAGATTTTTTTAGTGTAATCCAATCTCTACAAAATATTTTGATAATATTGAACAATTAATATATTTATGGATTGCAATTCTCTCGTTTTACGAAATAACGCAAAATGTTCGCCATTTTTAAGTAACTTTGTTAAAACAGAATATTCAGATTCGTCATCATTTTATACGAATATTCAACATAGTCTTGGTATAATGCGCAGTGATGGTAGTGCGTGCGGCGATGATTCGTCCGATTTATCGTCACCGGATACATCTATGATAATCGATGAAAATTATAATGAAACGTTAACAATAACAGATAAAAAGAATAAGATGACTAATAATCAACACTTTTGTCGCCGAGGTGTTAATGGTGTACGATATTCTCAACGTTCAAAATCTGCTCTATATCTATGTCATTCAAAACGTCGGCCAGAATCAATCTCTATTAATGATGCACAAAATCAACGTACCATTGCAAATGTTCGAGAACGACAACGAACACAATCGTTAAATGGAGCATTTACACAATTAAGACAAATTATTCCCACTCTACCATCAGATAAATTATCAAAAATTCAAACATTAAAATTAGCCACACGTTACATCGATTTTCTTTATCAAATGTTACATACCGATAACTCAAAATTAAATTCATCCACTCCATTATTATCAACTACTACAATGTCGCCATGGTCATCAATGAATGGTGAAGGACAAGGATATGGAACGTTAAGTTATGCATTTTCTGTATGGCGAATGGAAGGTAAGTTTCTCATTCTCTTTTAACGAGAGTTTTCTGATATGTATGAAAGAATGATTTATTTTAAAGGTGCCTTTCAAGGACACAGTGAAACTACAAATGAAAATGATCCATTTTCTCCAATAGAATATGAGGATAACTAGCATGTTGTTGGTTTTTCTCTTTTGTTTCTGGCTGATAACGGTGATTATTTTTTGTTTTGTTCTCACCATATTTGCACTATATTGTATTTAATATTAATTGTTTCTGTTATTGACTTTTGAAATAATTTTTTTTTAATATTAGTCTTATTATAATAGCTGATAAAAATGAATAAGAGACTCTTCGATGTTGACAAAAGTTTGTATTAAAAGTAGCAAGACTTGATTTTAAAATTTAGAAGAAATAAACAGTACAACGGAGACTGTGCAATATTGAAATCAGTCCTTGCCTATATCGGCAATGATATTTTTCATTACCATTCTTTTCACTCTTTACAGATCTAACAAAAACATTTATTTTCATGATAAATGGAACTTTCAAATGTTTTGTTTTTATCTATAAATCATAATTTTTGCTTTCAGATCAGCAGGCGGAAGAAAATTACTCGTGTAGAATGTGAAACGGTATACTTTTCTTTTTAAGCTCTGAATTTATAACAAAGCAACAAAGAGCTTTTTACTTTTTAGCTGTCTATTCCAGCTGTAAGATAGATATTCATTTTCTATCTTAAATCAGATAGTGACCACGGTAATTGCCATATTTGATAAGATCACATATTCTATGTATTCTAGTATAAGGAAGAGATATACGGTCTAGTCATTCGTTTTTAGAAAAGCTTAATTTATCTGGATTAACAGTGTTATCAAACAGAAAAAGTGCAATAGCCATCCGTTAATGCTGTCATAAAGTCTCTATAGATTGACGATCACGAATGCTCTGCTCATTATTTTCATGGCTTGATGGAAATCAAAATAACAGACGTACACACACACACACACACACACACGTTGTTAGTCGAATAAAAATGATTAATTTCAATGCGTCCAAACATTATATTTTTTATCTTTCAAAAGAAGATCTACAATTATTGATTAAAGTACATAAAATGTATTCACAAGATCTTAATGTAATGTAAAGATATTCAGTGTTTTCGCACTTCATAAAGAACAATAATAATAATGTCATAATTTATCTATGACAATGAATAGGATTACTCATTCTTTGTAGATATAAACTTCATTATGAAAAGTTCTTAGCGCCATCATTAAACTAACCAAAATAGTTCATCATTAAAGTTGTTTTTACAATTTGATCTCTTCTCTGTGTGAAACTTAAACAGTAGTCGATGTTTGACATTCACACAACATATAAACATATATACACATATATATATATATAATGCAGTGCTTATCAATGACATGCAGATGGTTGTAGACGTGCAAATTGTTACTCTTCTTCAATTACATACACATAGATAGATAGATAGATGTATATGTCTCTATTCTCGTTAGCTGTCGTTGGAATCAATTATTAAAATAGAAAAGAAAAGAAAAGTGCAAGTAAAATAAACATTTTCTCAATAAGTATGTACGTATGTCGAAAATACAGAAGATTCATTTGACATGCTACAGACAATTTTTAACATGTTTACTTGTAAATAATTAAAAGTAGTTCTACCTGATTTCCACTCTAACGCTATGTGAAGACAGAAAAAATTGTTTGCTTTTATTAGCTCACCAACTTACTACCGTATAGGGACAATTATTTTTAGCTTGAGTAAACAACACATGATCTCTTAAGACGGTGCAGAGACAGATTCATTTCCGATATGAATCCCCAATAGTGTAATATCTCTTTTGTTCATTGAAGGAAGAGAAAGAGAGAGAGAGAGAGAGAGAGAGAGAGAGAGAGAGAGAGAGAGAGAGAGAGAGTAGTGGTGATGTTCATTTCATATTCTCATATTTATCATGCATTATGACATGAACGACGGGTGTTTCTGATACTTGGAATGATCTCTCAATTGAAGGTCAAACATGACAGGCACAAGCCTCACACTTCTACGTGAAAAAACTATAACAACAGTACCTACACTTTGGACTGAAAAACGCAATCTATTATTACTATCATAATCATAATTTGATGTCCATGACCGTTGTGACTTGTTGAGAGGAGGATGGGATATGAGTGTATCATTATAATTTTAATTGAGTACATATCTCAACTGAAAACATATTTTTTTCTCTTCTTTACATATATGGCAAGAATTTGTATCATTTTCATGACAATGACTATTAAAGAACGAGAACGAATTTTAATGTGCCCACTAAGATAAATGATCAATGATAGTTGGTTTATTTTCATAAAGAAGAGATAAGTAACAAAAAAACAAAATTTGTGTAAAAGCCAAAAATATATCTCTTTCATAGCAGAGAGAAAAAGAGAGACTTGAATACAATTCTAAAAATAAAGTTTTCCTTTTCAATTAAAAAATAAATTTCTCTGCTGTACAGGACGAAAAGAAAGAGACATGAATGAACGATTGTAAACCATCTCTAGGGAATTAGACTTACGATCCAATTAAAATTTAAAATACTGCACTTGTTATTGGTTGTAAATCTTCAAATATACATTGTTGTTTATTTGTTGAACAATGAAGATCTCTATTCTCATTATTCAATAATAAATCATCAACAGGTGATAGTGGCTTTATGTAATAATGATTATTTTGTTGAATTTCACTGATTGATGAAAAATTTTCTTCAACATCATCATACAAATCCTCATCATCTCCTACATCTTCATCGACAATCTCATCATCATTTGATTGTTGTTGTAATTTTAACTGTTTTTCATATTCGTTCATTGATGCCATAGTGGCAGCTAATTTATTCTTTTCATTATTCATATTTTCAATAACGATCATTAATACCGATTGTCCCATTGCTTGCGATATTTTTTGTTCAATTCTATAACGAATATATTCTTCGAGAAATGTTTCTAACAAATGAAATGAGCCTAAACTATCTCCATAATGTAATGTTAGATCACGAATAATCAATGAACAGTAAAATGAAAATTTTAACAAAAATTTTCGAGAAGCGGCAATATACTCTTTTGTATCTAAAAAAAAAAACACGTCAGATTTTGTCTGTAATTTTTTCTGAATAAAAATGTTCAAGTATCATACCTTCATAAGGTTTCAATATATCGTACAATAATGTTTCTAATAATATTGTCCAATTTTCTGTTGTTTTTATTGTTGTTATTGTTCGACATTGTAAAATACTTTTTATACATTGTTCTATTTTAATACACAAATCCATATCACACTCTAATAACCAATGAGCTTGATCATGTAAATCATGAAAATCAACATTACCAATATCATTTGACATTGATAATAGACGAGATGGTTGTATCAACATTGTATGAACAGCAATACACAAATGGTTTAACGAGGTATATCTAAGGAGTATAGATGAAAATGCTTGAACTAAATTAATCATTATTGTTTTTAATGGTTCACATAAATGTTGAATGGCATAGATTATCCAATACGATGAATTATGAGCCATTGTACGAATGGCAGTTGTCATCGAATGTGACATATTGGTAAGAATATCGGGAAAATAGATATCAATAATAGCCTGATAAAATTTTATATAGAATATTCGTAATTGATCAATAACAAATGGTAACGTACAAATACGATAAAATTTCCATTGTAATAAACGATATTGATGATCCTCAAATTTAATTTGCTCTGTATTAATTAATAAACCTAAGGAAAATATGATAAAATTAGTGTTGAAAAAATAATAGTATGGTTAGACATCATACCCGTTGGTGAATACATCATTGGTGTGTTATCTGTTTTAATGTACGTTTCGTGATTTAGTTTTGTCTCCGATGAGAGCAGTAGGAGATTATCCATATTTGTTGTTGTTAATGTTGTTATCGGTAATTTTGATGATATAATAAAGTTAACATTTGTTAATGACCAAAATTCAATGATCAAAGTTTCAATATATGAAAATTGAAATTTTGTGAATGCCTGATAGAGTTTTGCACAATATTCATCATGCGATTTTTGAAATAACTTGAGATCATTTATAGTTAAATCATCAGCAATAACATCAGATGGTAAGAGTAGTGTTGACGATTGTATATCATTGAGATCAGACGATAATTGTGTATAGCAAGTTTGTTGCTGTCGTTGACCGTAATTATCACAATTCAATGAGTATAATTGCGATGAACATAAATCAGATTGATAATCTATTAAATTTGAATTTGAAATTATTATTGGATTATTGTTTATGTTGCTGTTAGAGTAGGAATAATTATTATGCTGTTGATGTTGTTGTTGTTGTTGAAGTTGAGAGTCGGAACATTCATTTCCATTTGTTGCTATCCATTCTGACATGTTATGACCGACTATTGGTGTATTTTCATTATCATTTGTTCCATATGAATTTGAGCCTCCATCAAATGGCATCTGTTCACTTAATGGTGATACATTTTTCACACGTATTCCATAATAATGATATTTTGAATTTCCTCTAAAACAAAAGAAACGAAATCTTAAATAACGTCCGCTATGAGTATAATGTAGATATGCACCATTTACAGTTTTTTACCAGTTAACTGTGCTTGTAAAACTGTAAAACTGCTGATAACTGTAACTGGTGTATGCCTAGTATAGTGATACTTTACCGTGTTCCTAATCTTCTCGTTCGTAAACCAAGAAATACGGAATGAATCAATTTTCCGAATGATGCTGGATTCAATGGTTCTACTTTCAATCCCAAACAATGTTCCAAATAGAAATTATATAATATCGAGCGTCTAATGGATGATCCTTCTGCTACAATTAGAGAGAATAGAACAGAATAGAATAAGATATGTTTAATACGTTGTCATTGGTACCTGGTTCAAAATTGTCGACAAGCCATTGTACGGTTGCTGGAGTTGCGTGATCTCTACACCATCGTTCAATCACTTGATCACTTGTCATTTTTTGTTATTTGATCTCAAATTGCGAATAATCTTATTTTGATAACTTTTGATAATCTCATTGAACAAAATCTCGATACTTACAAAAATGACTTTTTCCTTAAAGCTTTTTTTTTTTTTATAACCGATACCAAATGATTATGTGTTGTCGGTCAATATTGTTTGCATGAGAAGATTCATTTTCATCATTTATTAGAGATTTTAGTTTTTTCTTCCGATTAAGTTTTATATTTCAACGCGCGTGCAAATGTTTTTTTTTTCTGTGTTTCGAAATCGACCTAATTATATAGTTCGCGCAACATATTCATTATGTATATATTCAGTCTATGAAGCGATCGTTCATGATGGGAGTAAGTAATTCAATTATAGGCCAAAACAGTATACTTTTCAACGAAAAAATTTCAAATATGCATTATGCTTTGTATTTTCGGAATATGTGAATATAGAAAGGTTTCTAACAAGATCATCTCAAAATACAATTAAAATACTAACAAAGCGAAATTTAGTAGTTTCAATCATTCGTTTCCTATTGAATGTGAATTAGGAGACGCTGTTTGATGCGTGAAAGTATTCTAATATATTTTTAACTTATAGAAGAGATTCAGTCATGTATATCATAGCCGAAAAATACTAAAAAGAATATATATCTAGTTTTAATCCTTTACATTGTTTAATATTTTGATCAGATTATCAGACAAATTTTAAAATTTGATCAATGGCATTTATGTCTATTTATACATTGAATATTTGTCATTGACATCTGAACTTTTCTTTTTTAATACTGTTTGTTAGAATTCTTATCATTTTCATTGATGTTCACATTGGTTTCAGTTCATTGCCAATGCCAACAAATCATCTTTAGTCAACTTCATCATGTTTAAACGAGAAAACGAAACATGACGAGATATTCTTCTTTTTTTTTTCTCGTAATTTTAACATGACGCTCTATCTATCATTCTTTAATATCATCAACATTTAGAAGAAAAGAACGTCAATAATATTATGATCTAAATATTTACATGGTGATCAAATGAATAGTTTATTATCATGAGAAATAAATGTTTATGAACATTGACCAAAAATACAAATAAACAATACATTTGACTATCATATAGGAGTATAGATATAGAAAACATCTATACAAGACAAAATAATGCATTTTTGTTGTCTTTAGTGTAAACATGATTATTAAAAAATGGATATGGTGATCATTCAATACTTTGTTTATTTGACCCTGTTCAACTTTATATGAATGCATCATATTCAATGTTATTTTAGAAAGAATAATTTCTAAAATTGATTTAGATGTTAATATTAGATACTACTACTAATGTACTAAAAAATTGTTTCATTTTCTTTTAGTTCTTTACTGTTTTTGCATTATCAATCGTTTTTAGATTTTTTGTGAAGAACAAACTAACCGACCATTAACTATAAAAATATAAAAAGTAAAGTCACTTTCTCAAATTTTTGAATGTAAAATATAATGTCACATATAAAGATATTGAAATTGTATAGCTCTTCGATTTAGACTCGATTAAGTTCACTTTTTCTTTTATTATTAAAAATAACTATAAAAAAAGAAAAAAAAAAAGAAGAATTTATTAATGATTTCACCTAAGAGAAAATATCTGTATTTATCACTATGTTTGGCGTGGTTCCAATTTATTCGACAATTGATTGAGAATTCGTTGATTATCGATTACATTCATTTCTCTAAAACATAGACATTTTACTCGAAAAATAAGACATATGGAAGAAGACAACAATATTTGCTTACCGTACATACTCTTGAAGTTCTTGAGTATTTTTTATGCCTTGTGCTAATTGTATTTCTGAAACAGTGATTCTCATAAATTTATAGCCATTTTACTTAAATAACATCTTACCTAATGGTTTACTACGACAAATATTTAGTGTTCTCATTGTGTGAGCAAGCATTCGCTATAAAAAATTAAAATTATATATTTTATTAGAATTTTAAACGTTTATCTATATTATTACCATTTTTTCAAAATTGACCAATCCTTCAAAATATGTTTTATTACCTTCATGAGTAAATGTCATATCTGTTTAGAAAAGAAAAATTAATAAAAAATAAATTTAATACAATCATTATACTACGATAAACTCACCTTTTAATAATAATGGCATAAATAAAATAATAGGTGGTGTTAATTTTGTTAAACTTGATCGATAACTTCGATGATTTCGAGATGGATCCATTAGTGCTTCAAACTCTGAAAACATTCGTTTTATTTTATTTGGTAATTTCTAAATAGAAATAAATATTCTACTAAATATTTTCATTCAATATCATTAAATTCTCTTACGTACTTCCCAAGTGAGTGATAATCGACTAACAGCAATATTACTCAAACCCATTACAACGGCAAAAAATGAATTAAGATTTCGAAATTCTTTACAACTAAAAAATAAAATAAAAAATTAGATTATTCTTAGTATACATAGTAATTAATAATTTTTACTAAAATGCTAATTTAATAAATTTTCTCAATAATTGAACACGTTTTCCGATACTATTTGTTAAACACATTTCGGTAACAATCCAATATTGTACTTCATTAAATCTTCTCATAAAAACATCGAGATTAGCCGTAATTTTACCATATTTATATCGACCAAATACTTGATAAATTAATTCGTACTATAAAAAAAAAACCAAATAAAAAAATTATTTTTAAAATAGAAACAAAAATAAATCAAATGATTTTAATTTATTTACTTGATGAACGGCATTAAATAATTCATAATCATAAAGTGTTAGAGCATAGGCTAATTCTTTTGAATTAAACGTTTCTAATTTTTGCCATGTACCTCTTGATGGTCCTTCTTGTTCGGGTAACGGTACAAGAGCATCTAAATGATCATTTGGAGCCAAAAATAGACGTCCATTCAAACTAAGACCGTGTGATATACTTAAATCACTTTCTTTGAAAACTATTCGTTCTTTTAATAAACAAAAATTCAATTTTTAATAAATATAAATAAAAATTATTAACTAACCTCCAGTTGATTTTACTTCACATAATTTAAGATCATCCGGTGCATCAGCTTTCAGACCAAGTTTATCTGCAGCTAAACGAATCATTTTTGATGCCAATGTGTCAACAGTCATTTTTAACGTGGTATAAGTGTGATCAGCACAATAAATTTTAAATATTACTAAAAATAATACTTTACAACATGAGATTTTCTCACAGTTTCTCACATATACGATTTTACCTTCGTCTGAACCGCGAATCATCTTTGGTTTATCAATATTATTTCGGTGTTTGAAAGATGAGTTTGTTCGTTTTGAATCATGATTATCTCTTTAAATAAAATATATTCTTTAGAAATATAATTATAATATACTAGCAGAAATACTCGGCGTTGCCCGGATTCTTGTAGATAACTCGACTCCTGGTTGATTGATTTTAATGAAATTTTTGCGACTTATCTTAGATTTTGACCAAGAAACAATGTGCAAAATTTCATCATTCTAGACCTTACTGTTTGGGCGTACTTTCTGAGATAGACAGACAGACAGAATGACAAACATTGAAGGATATATTATAGATTATAATCTATATAATAATTATCGACTATCCCATGGGATCTTTTTCTCCTGTTTTTTTTTTGCATTATTGCATTATAATGCATTACATATATCATAATGTCTTGTAATGTGTTGGGTTTTCTATTGTGTTACAACCCGATGACTTTAGATAAAGCATGTCTTTAATGCATTGTAACGCATTAGCTTAACGCGTTACATGAAAAAAGCTGCCAGAAAACTGAGATTATAGTATTATAATGCATTTCTGTCAACAACTTTCTCATATTTTATAATGTTAAGATGCTATAAATTTGACTAACGCATTAATATTTGTATACCTTTACAAGGTGTTACTAAATTTCTATCGTATTAATCTGTAACGCGTTGCAACGTGTTACAGTTACTCGTTGTAAGGCTATAGAAGTTCTTCACACGTTTCAACATGATATGAATTTATTGCATTACAATGCATTAGAAGCTACTATAGTATTGTAATGCTGTATACATTTATTTCATTAAAACGTGTTAGAAACTTCTCTAGCCTTACAATGAGTTAGAACGTGTGTAACACATTGTAACGCATTACAGGTTAATGTATTATGCCGCTATAACAACATTTAACGCTTTATAACGTTATAAATTTATGGTATTACAATGCATTAACTGTTTAGACGTTGTAGTGCTATATGTGATAGTGTTAATAGGTGTCCTGTGGGACTTCATGTCCTAAGTCTCGAGTTACTAACGTATATGTCTGATATAGTTGAAGTAATCTTTCCCACACCAACTCTTCTAGAGGAATCGGTTGACGGTCTCAGAATTTTATGGAAATATGTTCTTTACGAGAAAATCATGTATTTTCGTTTTGCATATAGTCTATTGTGTTACATCGCGTTTCATTTTCTTATCTCATTGCATTTAGATAGAAAAGAATAATGTATTGTAATCTATTAGATGCTAACTCGTTACATATACATTATCTAATGAGTTATAGCGCTATAAAAGATCTTTTCAAATTTTATAGCATTACAACGCGCTAGAACATCTCTAAAACGTTATAACTCATTAGTTTATGATGTGTTATAAGGTGTTTCATAATTTTATAGAGTTTTGAATATTCATTTATAAGACAGAACCAGCATACTGCAGTAAGAAATTTAAAGGGAAATCATGCGGAGATAGCGTTCTAGGAAGTTACCTGCTTATAACAGTTGCGAACAGCAGGCAACTTCAACATTAGTTGAAAGATAGCAACTAATATGTATGCGACTTCTCGTTGTTTATTTTGGAAATAAAAGATTGTTTTATATTTATACATTTCTTCAGAATAGACGTTGGGCTGAGTACTTCCTAACGTTTTTTTGTTGTTAAACCTAAGGTTTTGAACCTAATCTACTTCAGTATGACAGTGCTCGTATGAATTTAATATAGAATTTATGTCAGCTACTTGTCAATTAAGGAGAAGAGTAATCTACTTTTTTGATCGGATGAATTATCTTCAGAGATGATTGTGGTGAAAAGAAAGCGCCCGTCCAAGTGAACGCCCGTCATGATATTATGAATGTAAAAACCGAATTGGGACCGTTTAAACATAAAACCCAATGAGGAAACAGGAAATAAAAGACTGACAATGAAAATGAATGGCACAATTGTTTATGCTTTCTCCTCATTTGGTTCAGTAGAAAAAAAAAATGGTGGAAGATAGTGTTATAGGTAATAAGAACCAGATTATCTAAAATTCACGTTTTTGAGCAAGTGGAAGAGGAGATAATTTATGTTATTATAACGCGAAAGACGTCTTATAATACGTTAAAATGATTTTTCTCTACGACATTGCAACTCATTAGACACTAATGCATTATAATTCATTACGAGATGTTTAGAATGTCATTAGAAAAATCGTATTTCGTTATCATACATTAAAATCCAATGAGTTGCAATGCCGTAGACATTATATAATGCATTATAATGCTATAAATACCCCAAACCAGTTTTTATAGCGTTATAATTAGATAAAACATCTAATGTATTATAACGCATTAATTTCTAATGCATTATATTAAAGTAGAAAACTCAAACTCGTTATAATACATTAGAATCTAGCGAATTATAAGATGGTAGACAAATCTAATTGAGTTGTAACGAGATAAAAATTGAAACACATAATAATGTTTTAAATTTATAGAGTTGTAATGCAATGGAAATTTTTATCCACTTACAACGACATAAATTCCTGAAAAATAACTTTGCAACGCGTTATAATACGCTGGGCTACGTCTATCGCGTTGTAATGAGATAAATTTATAGCGTTGTAATACCATAATTTTATAAAGAACAATGTTTTATAGCGTTATAACGCTATAAATAGGGAAAAAAAGATCACACGGTATACGACAACTTACGGATCATTTTCAATCATGGCTTCAATTGATTGCAATTCATCTCTTAATTGTGGATAAATTTTTGTATCAGTACATATAGCATGCCGAAGCTCCTAAAATTCATGTTCTATTTAATTTACTAGATATATCTAATGAATAACACGTACTTCGAGAAATGCAATAATTTTTGTATCTTCCTGAAATGTTTCACCTACAAAATTGTGCCATTCTAGTACAAATCGAACTACTTTGACTTTTTCGCGTAATGATAAATCTACTAGTTCACCCGTTCGATGATGGGGTTTTGCTTTAAAAATTGTTAATAATGCTGCACATAATTGATTGACAGGCATAAAGACAATGTGAGTGGAAAGAAAATCTTCTAAAAATGTATCTAAAATAACAATAACATTGAATCATGAAAAATGATGACCAAATACTGAAATCAAACTACACTTACCCCCGTCGTCAGAATCAACACATATACAAGTTTCCAATAAATATTCGAGCATTTTTTCAGCAGTACCAGCCATTACAGAATATCTAAACAATTCGAATTTTCTATCTTACCTTTTATAATCTATTTGAATACTTACTTGTAACAGACTTGATAATTTCCATCAATCGTTTTCATATTAATAGGAATCTTTTCTAAAACTAAAACATCTTTTTCATGTTCTTTAAGTCGAACAGTGTTTGCTTCAACATCACGAAGAATTCGATTAAAATCATCTTTGTCTACTCGTAAAAAATGACAATTATCTTCATGTAATACGATAGTGGCTGTCCTATGAACATTTAAAGTAGTTTTGTTTAACAGATTTTACAAGATATATATTTTTTAAAATAATTACCTCGGTGAATTATTCACAAGTGATAATTTTCCAAAATCATCGCCTTCATGTAATGTACATACAACACCCTTACCATAAATGACAACATTGACAGAACCCTTTAATATAATATACCATGATTTGCCCTCATCACCTTGACTAAATAAAACTTTGGATTTGAAAGGATGTGCTTCAAATACGAGTACACCAGCTAGTTCTCGTTTAACAAGTGATGATAAATGTGAAAGTGCTTTAACATGAATCAATTCATCGTAAATTATTTCAAGATCATCGACAGTTCGTTCATGTGGTCTAAAAAGAGATTAATTAACATTTCTAATAAAACACCATAATCGATTAATAGAAATTAGAGAAAGATACGAACGGTTTCCGTAGAATCATCCTTAACATTGCATCTGGTGCCACTTGAGCTAATATCATGATGACTTCATGTAATTGTTCTTCACACGTTGATTCATTAATATTAGTCAATTGATTATCGACACCATCTTGATCATCCGAAAAACGGTAAAACAAATATTTGTCTTTAAAATAATGTTCTTGAGAAACTAAATGGATAAACCGAGATTACTCTTAGTAATATGCACATTGTTTTTTTTAAATCACACACCATGCTGTATAGTCGATTCTTCTAACAATGCTTGCCACATTCCGACAGCTTGACTTCTTGAATGTACAATGGGACTTTGATGAATGAGCCAATCTACCATTTCAGAACCCACTAAACAACTTCGATGCATTTTTAAATGATATTTTCGATCTCGAATCATTTGTTGAGATTTTGCTAATATACATGTTCGTAAAACATATGCAGCATGTTGAATTCTTACTGACGGAGTCTAAAATATCAACATTGTATTTACACATATAATAAACATAGTACTAATTAGTAAAGAAAAATGACTTTAACAAAGACTGAAATTTGCTATGATTTGACCATTGACACTCTGTTAATTATATCCAGTTATATCATATTCTTCGACTTTTGTCAATATTTATGAAATGTAAATGAAATTTACTTACTGGAACAATGGGAAGAGCCGGATTCCGACCAACACGAAAGAAAAAGAAACAAATTCTAATAGCCATACTAGATTTCTAATGTATTTTCTTACTTGGATCATCTCTGAAAAATTTTGAACTTCCCAATTGCGGTAATAACGATGGATCAAATTCACTTGCTCGCCGTTTTGGATCTAACGTGTTTGTTAACTTCGATAATGAAGTTATAACGCCATGCATGTAGTGTTTATTTCGTTCCCATAATATTTTAAAATCTTTTTGTTCTACGCGGAGTAGTTCACAATAGGCTGTTGTAATCACAGTAGCATTTCGTGGCATATCGTACAAAATCGATTCGCCAAAAGCAGATCCCGATCCCAGTGTACAAACGAGTGTATGCCCCTATGATAAAATAAATATGACTAACAGATTGTCTACTAACAGATGTTAATGTTTACTGTGCCGTTTTCACTTGGTACAACAACATCGACATATCCAGCTAAGACAGCAAACCAATTGGATCCAAAATCTCCCGTTCGAAACACTACACAATGGCAAAATATTAAAGTAAAAAAATGACAATAAATCATTTGAAATTCGATCAACACATACATGTAACACCTTTTTCAAGATTTTCATAATAACTGTAGTAACATAATTGTTGAATGAGCAATGGATGAAATTTTTCGAATGCTTTGACATCTTTTAGTTTAGAAAATATTCTATCTAGATCTTCACCTGTACGATCGGATGGTCTAAGATCAAACAAAAAAAAATCAAAATGTTTTTCAAAAAATAATTGAATTATAATAGAACTCTCATTTTTGTTTATGCAATAAAACTCACCTTTTATCAAGACTCTCAGTCCAATCCAGTATCGTTGATGAGCCATGAACACTTTGAGATTTTTCGCTAGGTGATGGTAGTTTCATTATTTCTATACCACATAACTATGCTCATATAGTTTTCTTTTATCTACAATAATCATCCAAGTTATTAAATAAACAAAAAAAAAACGCATCACTCAAATTTCCTACATGTAGCTGGGATTTTTTTCCATATTTTACGAAAGACCTTGTTCTCTTTTACCACAAATAACAAAGGAATCAAGTGTCGTATGAACTATATCCGTGAAAAATGTAAACATACTACACATCAATGAAGTTCGTGTCAAATTTTCATTATTTCATTATTATATTTTATTTAGGAAAAAGAAAGAAAAGAAAATGAGATTAGCGTAAATACTTACATATATAGTGAGACTTTAAGCTGACATATTGACAACTGGATAATTTGGTGGCATCTACGGAAAAGAACGAGAAAAAGAAATCTATTATACGGCTTATGTATATACCATAGATATCATGATTCTTTCAAAAATAATAATAGGAAAAAAAAGTTTATTATCTTGAATAAAACATGACATATGCTAGTAGATGAACATCTTTTTGGCTTTAAGCGTTTCATATTTTTCTTCTTGTCTTTTTTCTTCGCCACAGAGAGAAATTTCTGAGAAAGATATATATTTAGAGTTAAAGCGTCTCTGATAATAACGACAAAAAACATTTGGACTCTCAAATTCTTTTTTTCCTTTAAATATATCTTTTTTTTTTGCGGGTATACTATAGTGCTTAATTTATTTTTCCTTAATAGTAAGTAAATTCAAATCAAATAGGAGATATGCTTGCACTAAAAATCATCACATTCTTGTCCATCATAGTTTAATTTAGGAATTTTAAACGTCTTAAATTAAAAATGATGGAGAAATCCATTTTTAGACATTGTCCATACATGATAAAAAGTTATTTTCTCATCCTATACTTCTACATGTGAAAATCCCTAATGAGAATAGGAATACAAAAGAATAAATCAAGAAGATTTTTTTCTTTACCATCTCACATGACGTCGATGACAAAATCAAGGTTTCATTCACTAAATATAGTAAAGGAAAATAAACAAGAAATAATGAACGTTTTTTTAACATTTTTCGATAATCAGACAAAATTTTTCCACTGTCAAGTTTAAAATATAAATTTTGATCAATAAGTACAAGATTGATTTTTACAAAAGATGAGAGAAAAAAAAACCTTTAGTTCTACGTTGAAAGAAAAGAACCTTTATCTTTTTGACAGTTATATCTGTAAATTAAGATCTTTATTGTTCTTTTCTACAAAAAACTTCGGTTTATAAATCATTGATATTCTAACATCCTACTTTTTCTTTTTAACGAGAAAAAACCATAACACTGTATAGAATAGAAGACAATTATTGATCATTCCAATTATTATTAAATCGTAAAAGAAGTGATTCTCTGTGTCGTTCAATCGTTAAATTTACCTTATAAAATAATAGTTAATTAGAATGAGAAAAGAAAGACGAAGAGGAAGAAAATTCACTTTATTCCTATACCACTTTACTATAAATATATATATATATATATATAAAATACACGGAGTTGCCTTGTATCGGAAGGAAATAACAGTGTGTGCGGAAAGATTTTCAAAAGAATAAAAAAAGAAGAAGAGAAAGCTTAGTCTATAAAAACATGTTGCTCAACTAAGCATGAATCTAACAGTAAAACTCAATATTTTTATCCTTGTAAATAACTTTCTGAAAAAGAAAATGATCAACATCAACGACGAAACAAATAGCACATATAAGGTAAAAGAAATATAATACATCTAATATTATATTATCTGAAGAAGCGGCTTCCGGTAAAATAGAGACATGGGCGGATTAAAAAAAACAGAATCCGGAACTGACCCGATTAGAAAAACTCTTTTCATCTCGAGAAAGAACAAATAAAGTCTTGAACAAAACATTTTTTTTCTTCTTCGAATTTATATCCACATAGATGCAATTTAAAACATTTTGAATGTCTAAGCTCTAGATTTATCCGCATTATTCGTGACTTATAGCTTAATCTAATATCAACCTGTGCAAAATATCTTAACAATCGATCCACTGACAATTCTATTTTTATATATAGTTAATTTTTATAACTCTTAGATCGAACAATGATTCAATACTTACGAGAAAATCTTCCAAGATGTCCACTTCCAATTCAAATGCTTTGTGCATGAATCGATAGACTTTAGCGGGGTAGTAAATACCCTAAAAGGATTCGGGCCCATGACTTCTGAAGACCCGGTTTTCTGAAAAACCAGTTTTTCGAAAATTCTAAAAAATAACCAAAACTTTTTCTTAATGAGGTATGATTATGGCCTGAAAATTTTTGATTAAAATGAGACGTCTCTCAGCTCCATATGACCATTCTTTGCAAAGTTATAGAATTTACAAGAAAAGCCCTGAATTAATTTCTTATTTCTGTAGCTTTCAGCTTACAATGAATATTTGACAGAAAACCAGATCTTCAAGAGTCATGGGCCCGAATCCTTTTAGGATATTTACTACCTCACTGAGGTCTATTGATCCATGTACAAAGCATTTGAATCGAAAGTGGGCGTCTCTGGAGGTTCCCTCGTTAGCTGAGAATGGTTTTCTTGAAGATTGTCATTTCATTGCGTGCATCTTGAAAAGTTTTTTCCAGTATGTATAATTTGTACACCTGTACATTCAGGCATTTTTATATGTAATGCCTTTACATGACATTTCTTTATTTAATATCAAATATGTTCTATTATCTTCGTCAAATACAACAACAGATGGTACTCTTTTCTGCTAGTAAAACTTGTTCTTAAAAAATACAAATAATTTTCTAATTTTTCAAAATAAGAACGATGAAGGCGTCAATTTTTCGATCTCCAATATTATTGAATTCTGTTTGATAAGACATTCTCAGAATGTAAGTTATGACGCACATGTTCATAAGGATTCTGGTTTAAGTACTAAACAACGTCTTCCATTTCAGAAAGATACTTTGTTTCCGTATAAAATTTATTAATTAACTATAATTCACTTACACAAGTTGGAAAAGAATGTTTATCAATTAGTAAAAAGCAGTTGAATGCTTTTTAAAGAATGCCAAATTGGACTTCATTACTGAAGTAATCTGTATTATACTTTCTCATCTTGAACCAATACTAATCAAAGCAAGAAATTTTTACTGTAAACAAACGTTAGTACTATCTATCAACATCCTCAAAAAAATCTACAAAAATTCACTATGAGGTCTACCGTTGATTTTGCGTAGAATTAATGATTATTGTTGCTGAAAAAAGTCGAAAAGCGTATGAAACAAGCATATTGTATTTTGCAATGTCCCTGTTGCAAAACTCGTTTTTGATGTAAGCGGATCAATATGTGGCATGATGTATTTAATTTTCGAATATGTATCATACTCTATCGTACAAGCGATTTTTAAAGAGTTTTACACAAGTCCAAAAAACTAAATTTGATGAAACTTTCAATGTATCTGTCTTTATTTTCGATCAATATTTTCTTTTTTTGAAACATGTAGATTTGTACAGCAGATTCATCTCTTCAAAATAAGACATAGTGTCTCTATAATTTCGTATTAAAAAGCTATAAACATTCTTCTATCAGATCTAAAATGTAATAATGAATATAATGAATTTTCTCGTCTGTAGTTTTGGCATTTGTGTCATTCGGTAAAGCATATTTTTCTCATGAATGGTAGAACACACACTAACGATATTTTTTCTTTACAACATGCGACAAAAATGCATCAGTTTTTTCGGTCAGATATAAATGATTTGCTTTTGTCCTGAAGAAAATTTCGTCTGATAAAACTGGTTGGTAGAAACAGTAAATTTAGTCTCTTTGTTTCTCATTAAATTAAGTAGAATTGAAATAATAAATTTTCTTTTTTATAAAAATGCTAACATGAAAGAATATGTTGTTATCTTAATAAAAGTATGCAAAAGAATATTTTCTAAAAAAGTTCTAGTATTAAACTGTAAATTTTATTGTTAAATGATAGGAAAGGTTGCAGATCAGAAAATGATGTATATTACATTTTGTTATAAAGTTTCTGATGTAAAGTTTTTATGAGCCCATAGGTGGTTATAGTATAGCCGTTCTTGTCGTCACAAAACAAATTCAATTTATAAAACGAAGAAATAACAAATTGAACTGATCGCTTATTATTAGCTGATAATTGTTTGCCATCCATTTTATTATATCAAATTATCATGAATTTAATATGAAATTTTAAAATTTTTTCTGAAAATAGATGGCAAAAAAAACGAACTATTTCACTTAATGTAGATTTTCAAAATCTTTTCTGATAATAAACAATACTACAAGACTTAGGATAGGCGTTCCAAGACTTAATGATAACAAATTGCGAGTGCCTCAGAAAACCGATTGGCACCGAGAACTATGGGGGATATGGAGGTCAGTATTATGCAAAACTGTATTATACACTTTAAGCTGTCTAGTCTTTATGTTAGAATTAAAAATCAATCGTAGTTTCAGAACCTGACAATCTTATCTTTTTCCATTCGGATGTACCACATGGAAAAAACGATGTTTTAAAGTCTTTTCTCATAAATAGAGTGTCAAGTTTTTTAGAAAAATGGTTCAAACTACAGTTCTCAGGATCATTTTTCTCAAAAAATATTAACCTATTAAGTACCATGATCCCCATTTGGGAATATTAAAATAAACAATTCTATTATTTTCAGATGTAAAAATATTTTTATTATGTAGCCTATTATTGAAAAAAGCATAAAATTTGTCTCGCAAAATAATCGACACGATTTTCAAATGATAGAAAATTGCCTAAGAAAATTTTATGGAGGATCTAAGTTTGAAAGCCCAAAAATTCCATAAAATAATATATTAATGAAATTTTATTTCGATACATCGTTCTATGTATAAAAATTTAGAAAAATCTAAATTTAAAAATCTGGTAATTAATGGATTAAAAAATTAAAATTTACTAGACTTTGAAAGGAGTAGTATTGTGGATTAAATTTTTCCATAAAATTTTATAACTTTCACATTA